ACCACTGGTGGTTTCTGCATCTCAGAACTCCAACTGTGTCTGTTCCCAGGCGGCAGTTTCGCCAGCGACTTCGTTGACCCGTACGGAGAAAGGTTCTCGCCATCATCCCTGATGTTCAACCTCTTCTTTGACTTGTGGATGGCGGCGAACAGTTCTTCGTTGGACATTGTGCTCTTCGTCGGCGACAGGACGAGGTTCGTCGGTGTGTTTCTGCCGGAGTTCGCCGACGGCGGCGAGCAATTGTTGCTGTCGATCAGCGCCAGACGATCAGCAATAGTTGGCATAGTACGTCCGATCGGCGTGGACGTTGTAAAACTATTATCGTGGCTGTGCCTGGTTGGGGAAATTGGATTGTGTTTCAAAGCATCAGCACTAGAAGTTTTCGTAACAGGATCACGAACAGGTGAGGACCCGAAGAATCGATACCCGAGCGCGGTCAGTCCTAATGGTGTAGCGAATCTGGAATAGAACGGAAATAGGTGGAAGAAATATTTCTTCGTGACATTAACCTATTCAGGGCTGAATGTTTTTTAAAGCGGACAAAGAACGCAACCTGACTGTGAAAATAATCCCTTGGCCTTACAACATCGTGTCAGACTCGAGGCAAAGATTTTGGATAGAATGTAACGAATATAAATGTCACTTAATTCTGTCAAGTTCGAGCGGAATATTATTTTTCTGTTACTAATTGCAATGCTTCAGAGCAAACGTAGACGCAGAATGAAAGTAGACTTCTTCTTTTTTCCTAATAAATTACGAACAGTGCAAGGGGTAATGTAAACCTACATAATACGAGTGTAGCCCATATGTTTGCCATTTAGCCATTTACTCCTCTTAAACATACTTTTATAAAGTTCCAAAGAGAATAGATGACAAAATAATATTTCCAATTATAAAACTACGCTTCAAACATTTTTTCAAAGAACAATCGTGAAAGGTACTTCTGATAACACGTGTACGCGAGGATGTGCACACGTAAAACTCTTCTTCTTCTTGTGTTCATATATAAAATAACTATTTTCCCCTCGAAAAACCCAGAATGGTCCCCAATAACCACATTTTAACCCTTTGCACTCGATTTATATTCAATGTTGTTGAATGTTAACTTGTACTTATTTTTAGGGAAATGAATGGAAGTAATTTACAGCGATAGAATTCAACGTTTCATAATTTACTTCATTTATTATTATTACAATAAGATTTACTTCTTACAATCTTTTAAAGTGTGCTACTTCTCAAAACAATTTCCAACGTCCTACAACAAATTTCTATTGTCATCTCCAGCGTGACATGCGAGTGCAAAGGGTCGACACGAGTCAAAATGAATAAACAAAAAGAAAGAGTACTTCCATACCTGTTTCTAACACCCGCAATCGGTTGCTGTCGGTTCGGCATCAGCCTAGACTTCGCCTCCAAGTTCTCCAAATTCCTTCCGTGCAAGTCCACCTGGGACTCGAATTGGCCTTGCATCGCGAACATGTGCACAGCGCTCAAGGAACCGTGACCGAGGCCCCTCGTGATATCCGGCGTGATGCTACGCGGTGGCTCGACGTCTCTACGCGGTCTTCTAGATGGCAGCGTGTAAAACTGATGGCCACCGGCGTGCCTGCCCGACGCGCAGTATTGCTGATTCCTCGCGTTGTGCATGCTAACGATCTGTCGTTGCTTGCAGGCACGCTGGTAGTCGCTGCAGTTCTCCGCTTGGTTTTGCTCGAGATATTTGTTGTTGTTGTAAACGTCCCGCCGTGGATCGTGCGGGTACACCTTTTGCGGCTGGTGTCCGTGGGCTCCATGGTTCTCGTGTTTCTCGCAGTGGGCTTGTGCATTCTGAGAAGTTAGGGTATTCTTCGCGACTTCCTGAGCCTTGTGCTCCCTCTTGCACTCTTCAGACTCCTGGGCTGAGGCGTAGGGCGGCTGAATTATCCCGTGCGGAGGCACCGAATCGATAGCCAACAAAGTGTTATCTGCAATAAAAGGATCGATCAGCGTCCCGCTTCTTCGGTGGCAACGCGCGATCGCGATGTCTTTTCCGTTACTGCCGGTCAACGAATTATCGGCTAAAGACAATTTACAGACTCTATGGAGGTTGCTGTTATGCTACGTGGATAAGAAATCATTTGTCGCTTATCCTATTTGTTAGACGTTTCATCTTGGGCTTACGTTGTTACGGATTTACCGGGAGAGTTTGACGGTTGCGAGGAGAGCTAGGAGGTTCGCTGCTATTCGCCTCTCGCGTTAGTTCCATCAGTCTTAGGCTTCACAGTGCACAGGGGCGAGGGGAATCAGCAGCACGCTCCGCCACGGTACGCGGCTCGGCCAATAACGAGGACAAGCCAAAACTGAGGCGTCATTGTTGCCATAACTACCGGGCCGAGCGCCGCGAGTGGACGTCTCCCCTTGCCCCCGTGCACTTTTAAACCTGTGGCCGATGGAACTAACGTAAGGGGCGTATATTATATCTAGCTTCTTCTGCTTCTAAGAGTTCGGTAAAAGACGAAGGCTTTGATAGGAATATTAGATATTCGAAGACTGTTTTTATATTTTTCTTCGTTACCGAAAAGTGCGAAACGGTGAAATCACGCAGCGTTACGTTGCTTGTCATAAACGGAAATAGATTATCTCCACGATGGTCGACGATTGTTTGTATCTCAGCCCGTGGAATTTTTTGTGAATATTTGAAGCTGGCTGTTTTTAGTGGGAATACAGACAACTAACTATAACAAGCTGTGATTTTGTATTTTTTTAAATTACCAACGAATCGTTTGGTACTTTGAAAATGATCCGATTTCGTTTACTTCGCAGCGGAAGTTTGTTATTTCTTGCGTTCTAGTAGCTTTTAAGGTTGAAGTATGGTATACTTTTACCGTTTCCCACTCTGTTGGTAGCAAACAGGAATATGAAGATAGAGTCCAAGTGTTACGTAGTAATCCTCGTGAAAACTTCGATTCTTTATCGAACATTTACGGACGAGAAGGAAGCTAGATATAGCCAATCTTTAAAGGACAATTTTCTCGGAGAGCGGAGGACAATTGACGGAAGAATCTAAAGAGAAACGATGAAGGACAACAAGCGTACGCAGAAACAACCAATTATATTGCATTGATAAATCATGCCTTGCCTGCCGCAGTCTAATGTTTCTTTTAGAAACATTTTCTTGTTCTTATAGAATAATAACACCATTGGCCTCGGCCGAAGACCAATGGCGGCGACTTCAGAATAGTTGGTGGTATCAGACTCGCCTGTTCCTTTTCCTTGCTCATACATGCGAATTACAGACCTATACTGCTAATATATTATCCATATCTACTATTCATTATGAACTTTCAATAGACGATCAAATGGAATATTCAAGATTCAATGAACAAACTTTTCGCATTATTTTACAAACGTAATATTTGGTATAGGTCTTCCACAATGAATTGACCCAAAAGAGAAGTGCTTAGACTGGCTAAAAAGAACGCGAGCACGGATGTTTCAATTGTCCGCTATGTGAATTCAACCGAGTTAATGAGAAACCGATAGAAACTGGTCGTGTGTCGAGCTATCGTCAATGACGATGTTCATGAAAGTCTCTGTTCGACCGTTTCGTTTCAAACACAGGATAACTATCTCGGAAATGACGTGATACTCTTATTGCCCGGCCGCGCGTGCACTCTATTTCGTTCAATTCGTTTCGGAACAGCTGTAATGAAGTTTGTTAGTAAAGTGCGTTAGTGGACTACAAACGAAGCAGGCATCGAAGACACGACAAACGCGAGCATGCAATAAAAGCGTGAAAACCACACAGTCCATCGATACCTCGATGGAATCCGACATGGAATGTGCATTTTGTAACTCTCGAGACGATTGAAGTCTACTTTAAGAGGTTACGCGAAAGAGAAGAGATCGAGATACTTGTATCATTTGAAGATTAACCGTGAAACTTTCCATATCGGATTCTCGAGTTTCTCTGGCGAAGTGAAAAATAAAATGTACTCACCGAATGCGAACTATGGTACTATGACATACATGTGTGCTATTAGCGGAGGATGCCACACGTGTACGAAGTGCATTTTTCTCTAAAACTAGTATGTACGGGTACATAGACTGATGTGGACAAATACAAACAACGAATCATAAGATAAATGAAAGACAGAGAAAGAGAGAGGGGGGAGGGAAAGAGAAAGAAAGAGAGAGAGAGAGAGAGAGAGAGAGAGAGATAGGAAATGAACCATCAATAATATGTACAGTGGAGCAGCGGTTCTCAACTGCACTTTAATATTGTATTATACGTTACGTGGTAAGGAACAGTGCTAATATTTATGTTCCCCGTGCGTCTGTTCTATTGATATATTAGCCACTTATTAGCCAAGTCGGATAATTTTACTAAACAAAACGTGGACGAAATTGATGCGCAATAGTTAGACACTGATTTTTAAAGTTTCCCTTTTTAGGAAATTAAATAATCACTATGGAACGTATTTTTATTCATTATTATAACTTTAATATAGAATATGTAAAATGTACAAAATAGTGTAACTTTGTAATTATGATTATTATTGCAAGTTCTGCATGGTCAAAAGAATGTTTGTTATTTGTGATACTACAGCCAATAATAAGGAAATTTATTTTACATGTGTAAATCTTAGATCGAATCGATAGAATCTTAACAAATTCGAAGAGAGTTAATCGATTTGGCCAATGAGCAACTCGTATCTAGTAGTAGCAATGTTATAGAAAGTAATTAATAATTTCGATTGAACGTAATTACTACAATAATAATTTCCTTGCTTGTGTTGTTTTCCAAGATTTTTAGATCATTTGTATTTAGTGAAATGAAATGTACTTTAATTACGATGGATTATGCGTCCAAAGAAATTTTGTGAAGACGCCTCAATAACTTTTGAGAAAAAACATTTGATTTGATAATCATAATATTAACCCTTTGCACTCCAGAAGTTTTTCACCGGAAATATTCAATATTTTCTAATGAGATACAGATGACATTTGCTTAGATTGAATTAAAAAATCTCACATGCATTGAGGAAGAGAACTATTTTCTTTCAATATTTCGTACATTGATGCATTATACAAAGTTTAATATTAAATATCAAAGTTTACAGTTTTACCGTGTCAATTCATTTGGTGACTTAGAGGCGCCTTTGGAGTGCAAAGAATTAAAATTGTTACATTTCGACATTGGCGGTGCACGCTTATACAGAGGTGGAGAACCGCTGCGGTGGAGGATGATAAATGTACAATGACTGGTAAGTAATCGAACACTTGCAATTAAAGATATTAATGAACAAAACACACGGGTTAAGGAGTAACGTTACTTCTAGTGGGTCCTCGAGAGCGAAATTTTTGTGACTTTTTATCAAGAAATTTACGATCTCAATTGGTATTATCCTTTTGTCACGAATAAAATATGTCTTCAACTGTGAACAATTTTTTACATATGTATGTTCGTTACAATGCCATTTTCACGGTGACTACGTGGATCTAACCTAAAAATTTCAATTCTTTAGAATTACGTGTGTATACAAATCTGTACGCATCATTAATAGAAGTATTAGATTATTTTTTCGGTTACTCTTTAATTCAAGGTGAAAAGTTTCGTAATGTGATTATACTCAGTTAAAAATTATAAAAGCTGTGAAATATATTAAAAAGTGTTTAAAAATAAATATTCAATGATATATCATATAGTATCATGGAGAAAAAATGAATAAAGAAATGTCCATCCTATAGATGTATCCTATGATTTTTAGAAAACTCACAGATGTTTAGAACATGGTGCAGTATTAAAGATTCGTTTAAGAATGCTTTATTCTTACTAAATTTTTAACGAAATTACTGAATGCTTTTATTAACGTTGCCTACAAATGATCGAAGTTCTCAAAAGAACATTAGAGTTTACAGTTTACCGAAATATTTACATTAGTACAGCGTTAATTGTATATCCTTTATTAATTTCGTATACTGTACTCCAAAACTTCCATCTATGAATAAAACTTTCATAAAATAGCAATATTAATTTTCTGATAAATATCTCATCGTTTTTATTATGACAACACTACAGACATTTACGCAAATGTACATTTTTCACAGTTAATACATAAATATTCTCTACATAATGAGCATTATCAGCCTAGAAATTTTGATACGAACGAGTGAAACTCTTTTTCCTTGTGATTTGCACACCCACGAGCGACACAAATGCACAAAACTCATAGACCAATTTCCTCTCTAAATTTTGGTGCCGAAGCAGTGATATATTCGTGTTCCATTGTAGGCTCGTTAATACTTTGGCGACTTAATATTAGTGAATGCGTATAAGTTGTTTGTCAGCATCTTTTACTGCAAGTGTCAGTGGTGTCTACTATACTATTGTCTAACGTCCTTCAATTCTTCGTGTTGTGATTAAGACCACAGTCTCTAACAGCTTTCATAGTAGAAATTATTAGATCGGTGGAGAGAAAATGATCGTCCTTCGCATCTATAACATTGTTCTACAACAATCGGTATAGTTTATTTAAATTACAGGAATCCTTTAAGAATGACTGGAAATCATAACATTCATTCCACTTATTTCCCACCTATTCAATAAGTAGGTACTGTTGAAGACTTCTTTGACGTAGCTACTTTTTGTGTAAGAATAGGATAGAATACGTCACAACAACAATGGTGATACATCTCGTTGCATAATATCTCGTTCATTGAAAAAAAGAACACGATTCGTCGTTTTCGCGACGGTAAACTTAAGTTTAAATGATTAATCTCGTAAGACTTATAGAACTTCAGCGAACAAATTTTTTAATTTACGTTGTAATATTCATTACGTTGTAAATACTTACGAAAATATACAAATAATACTGGCGATAGCACGATTTCGTTAACGCGGAAGGCTCTGAATTTCCTTTGACTGGCAGTGCATACAGGGTGTCACGAAACTCGACTTAGAAGTTAAAGGATTCTACAAAAA